TCCTGTCTGCTTCCAAAGCGCTTTGTCCTTTATTTCGGCGAGGCATCAATGAGCTTGACCAAAAAATACAGAAGAGTTCCAGATAACACTTGTCCAAAGAAGACACGAAGAAAGACGAACAGAAACTATCTGAAACTGTCCATGTGCAGGTCTTAATACAATGGACCTCACGCTGTCCTTCGGAGACTTTCAGAAACTATGTGCAATAACTAACACGACAAAAGAGAACGCAAATTGGTGACTCAAGAACCGTTTATTCTTGTACCAATACAGAGCCAACCATTAGGTTATTGTACACAAAGTCTAAGAATAAAAATTGATCACAATAATACTTATGATAGTTTCCTCTTTTCCAACGAATAAGGAACGATGAGACGATGACTGCCGTATTGATGACTCCCGCGAAATATATGGAGTTGTGTTTCAGTCTTCAACTACATTGGCGGCGCTCATCACTGTTTTCCGGATGTCTGTGTCATAATGCTGCTGCATCTGCTTCCAGTGAATTTAATTAACTGACAGACCTCTTTGCTTATTAGATATGTCACACAGGGAAACAGACCTCATTGCTACCCATCATTCCTAAATGTGATACAGGCTAGATTCACTTACATAAATTAAGCATATACATAATTATCATGCATGGCCCTATGTGAGTTTACTATAAGTTAGGTTCAGTCTTCCTAATTTACACTCCTTCTGAAATATGGAGACCGCTATTGATGCAGAAAACAACATGAACATTACGCATACATAATATTATTATCTGCCAGGAATTGTTCCATCGAATCATACTACAAGAATCCATTTGACAATACTTTGTTAGTGGTCTGAGGGGCAAAAATACTAAGGCGAAACATACAGACTAGATGAAAGTTCCACAAAGCTGTCTCACTGTTATTCATTTTCTCCCTCGTGGATTTTTCCTCCGCATGTGAACGCATCCACATGCTGGTGTGTGGAAAGTTCGTCACTTTTAGCAATATATAAGGTCCACGCCTTTTGAAAGCCTTCTAATGCGTTCGTAGCTTCTTACGTATGTGCTGCTTTCACTCGCACTGATTACCTGCGATGAAATTCTAGCGAAAGGCCTCGTTAATGAAGCGCATTATTGCCACGGCTTGTCACAGTTAATTCGCAAGAAACACAGGATACCAGGTTATGTGAGTGAGAAATATCGAAGTAGGAAATACTGTACGTATAACCACAACTCAAGATATGCATCGGGACCCAGGGGATAGTAGTCACTGATAGCCACTAAAATGCCTGACCAGTTTTAAGAGAGCTTATAACGAAAAGAGCCCTGTATTGTATAAAAACCAGTTTTAAAAATGTTAGAATAGTTAAATATTACATCTGTATTCGTCAAAGTTGCATGCAAATGAGGCACAACACAACCACACAAAGCCGCACACGATAGCACCTACCGAGGACAAATCGAAAATCCAAGTGACCACCACTGTAATAGCCAATGAAAGACGAGACAACCCAAAGCGCGGTAAATTTCACACGCGATAACGTTAATACTCACGCTTCAGTCATGTACAATTTGACAGAAGACGAAAGAATACGAATGAAAGTACGCTGCATTTATTTGTAAACATTTGTTTATAGACTTGTATTGATCTTACTTTAATTGCCAAACAATATATTTTTCGACCGGGTACTGGTGTTTTGGAGTTAAAGTCGAGAAAGGTACATAGTAATTATCGGTTCGGAGCGTCTTCGTAGCAACAGGGCTAATTTCCCTAACACTTAGTTTAATGACGCCACTTTGTCCTGCTTGACATGTCCTCCTTGCTTTAACCGTGCCAGTAGCCTGTTTTACAGGACTCACCACACAGCTTATCAGGATTAAATGTACATCACACATAGGGATAGTGTCTACGGGCTAGGTGTGAATACCAAAGTAAATTCATCATTTATGTGACTACTTAGTAATGTATGTAGGAACTATGATTTGACCAGTTATACAGCGTTCAGTATGTCGACACATACTAGACGTAGGACGCTTAGTCCAGTGATGCATTGTCTAAAGCCATGTAGCTATCCTAAAATGGGTTTCTCTGGAAGTAATCTCCTGTAGCTGCCACCTTAGTGAGCAACTTAACGTTGTCTTTGAATTACAAAGTAGATTTGGACACACAGAAGACCTTGATAAGAGGATCGTCTTCTAGTCAAAGAAAGTAAATATATCCACGTCACCATGAAAGCGTCTAGAGGTATTTATCCTAATACCTCAACACTCCAAATGATTTACTATTCGTAGTCACTTACAAAGTAAGCATAAATCTACCGAAGACAGAATGCCTCTAATTACTAAGTTTCGTAATTCACCGAGAGGGAAAGATATATTCATAGGGTTACAACAGTTAGGCACACGATATTAATTATAATAATAAATTCTCAGTTTTTGTACATGAGGGACTCCAGTTAACAGCTGAAAACAACTAAAACACTGAAAGCCGCATGAATGCAAGATATGAAACAATTACACCGAAATGAATGAACTGACCTGGTAGTGAAAACTTTTGGGCGAAGTTTAAGAATAGCGCCCGAAAACCTTCAACGCTCAAATGACCTTGAACGCATGCCAGTCGTTAGCTAACGGTTCCTGTCATTATCATACCTGAAATATCAACCCTATTCATCAAATAAGGAGCAATTTTCACCCAGAAAACAATTTTATTACTGTTTGGACAATGTGTTAACATCTCGTTAGGGTTAGGATAGGAGTTAGGCGAGCATTGTGGTTAGGGTTACGGTTTAGGGTAGCGATTAGGAATAGATTTTTCGTTTATTTCAAGTTCTTTTATTATACTTATTTCCCTTGTATGTAGTCGCCAATGCTCTTACTGGAACCATAGTAACTAAACCGAGGGCTTAGGAGAGGACTAAACAGCAAGAGAAGAGAGATGAACCATTCCCAAAACAGCAAACCTTCAGTCACTTTGGTGAATACATCTACAGAAACTAGTCCAAATTAGCAACTTAAACTCTTCATCGCAACTGGAACGTATTTTTAAGTCATATCAGAGAAATATAATCCGTTTAATGTGTTTTCATGCATTTTCTTGTGAATATACGTCATTTTTCGTGCAAAAATTCCTCATTTTTATGATTGGCTGCCTGAAGGTCACTCGTGCGTTCGCATCCCTCGGGACCCTATTGTTGAACTTTGCCCAGTAAATAACAGAAACCAACATATTAGCAACATATACTCTGTATGATTCAGTTTTATTACATATATATCATATGTACACTTTTCTATAAATTAAGTATCATTTTTCACCTAGAAGAATTGGATGGGCTGTCCGGGGTTGTCTTAATTTGGTGTCTATTCTTAACTGTTACCACTTCTGACACATTCCAGAACTAAGGACAGTGATCTGCAGTCTGCCCGAAACAGTCTGCAGTGCGCCTGAGGTAAATGCTGGCTGGAAGTCTAAAACGAAGCGACTTAATGAGCAGATTATTGAACTTGAGCAGCCAGTCAGATGATTCTGTAGTGTACATGTGGGATCAAGGATGGTGTACATGAGTAATGCAGCAATCCAAAATTGGGAAGCCGTATGGACAGTAAAGGTAAATCAGGGAGACATTGAAGTTAATTTCCTTTTCATCCATGTGACTCACATCTTATTTCTCGTATTGTTGGTACGCGTTTTGCCACCATTATGTCTCCTTTATTCCTTATTTCATCCTTATTGTCTAATAATTTCCCCTTTCGCTTTATTTCCCACTTCAAAAAATCTCATCCCCTTTTTGTTGCCTATATGCGATCTATTTCCCTCGTTGAAAATGGTTTCTCACTTTCTGTCGGGGTTTCCCCATAAATGCTGCCTTTTTTGTGCTCACAATTGTCCGATTGGGAAATCTCATCCAGATTTAGTATTTAAGTGCTGTTTAGATGACAGGCTCATTGGAAGGGAGAAAATGTGTAGCCGACTGTTATCGCCGGACAACACTGTTAATGTGGTTAATAATACAGACAAGTTCTCCAATCCTTCTTATGGGACCCACACAAATTCCATCGAAAGCTTCTAGAGTCACCTGAAAAGGAGGATCAGAGCCTTGAGTGAATCAAGAAACACGATGATTTACTGTCAACTCGACGAATTTGTGTATGGAAATTTGTGAAACCTAACTACGAGGACTTCTGTGAGAAACTGGGAGGTTCCCTTGGAACATAGAGAAGGAAGTTATCCTATGTGGCTGCATTTTAAGGTTGCATTAGTTCTGTATAAACGTCGTTTTGAAATTATGCACTTCTGCTTCAGACGCAATCGTTTGGTCGATAGACATGTGGTAAAACCTTTATTAGGCAGTTTCGTTTTAGGCTACTAGGGTTTAGAGTCACGCTGTTTCGGTGGTTATCAATGACTACAATCCCATGGGTCTCTATGCGTTTCTTGAGTTTTGGTTATACGTGTAATATTTCCTTCGTTGGTATTTCCCGTTCATGTAGTCTGATATTCTGCGTTTCGACAGGCTGTGGCAGTTATGGTCTGGGCTTCATTTAAAAGTTTGTCGGAGGAGGATAGAGCGAGTGAAAGCAGCACGAATGTGATTGAGAATTTTAGTGAAATAATGCTAAGATGATGTTTCCACCTCTGAGATAAATTTGAGAGTGCATCAAAGGACTTTAAGAAAGCGAGAACCTTAAAACCGCTAGCAGTGTATATCTCTGAACACAATACGTTCATATTAAGAGGAGAAATCGGCGGTTGAGAGATGTTGGATTGCAGTGAGACTGTTTTACGGAACTCTTATCCAGTGTGTATCTTTCTTTTTATTCTTTGGTTCCTGAGATGACTAACAAAGTATTACTGAATGTATTCCTGCTGTAGATTTGATGTCACGATTACTAGGAGTTAGTTAGTGGGACCATATGCACGTAATTTTCATGATATTTTTTCGCACCAGCAATGTGTTTTACACCTTCAAACAAGTGTAGACTATGATAACTGAATTTACTGGACACTTAAATCGTACTCGATCGTGCCTTTTAATCATGTGAACGCTTAGTTTATGAAAATTGATTATTATTATTATTTACTTGTCATTGTCTTGCGAAATAGTGTACGGCGAATTTAATCTGTATTACTCTTAGGAATGTTGAGTCGTAATGAGATCTCTGCGTTATTTGAATCTAGTGGGAGGTTGATGGGGTTCCATTCGGACGAATACACTTGAAATCCACTAACGAATGTTTTTCGACCGAACAGATTTGTATAATCATTTGCAGAAATTAATTTTACATACAACAATAACAACAAGAGGGGAAAGTAAGTCAACTCATTCACTAATAACCATACAGGTACTCTTTGTTCGAGTTTGTGGTGCCGGATAACCTTGAATGTGGGCGTCCAGTTGTATTTGCTTGAAATGCAAGAGAGTTTAGACATGTTGCAACTTGTATATTGAACAGTGTCCGTGGGATAATTGGAGGTGCTTCCCAAACGAAGACTTTCATTTTGGACTATTCCCAGTCGATATATATAGATATATTTCATCGGTGTTGCATTGAAGTAAAAAGTTTGCTGTAATATTTTTGTGTTCTACTCAGTATGTTTGTGGTCGGCGTGCGGCATGCTAGATCGATATTCCCTAGGATATGAGCCTACTTTACGTAGGTACAATTGCTCTGGAACACTATCGATTAATGGGAATAAACACTTCTAAGGGCTTTAGTCAAGTGTCTACCTAAAGTTATGCGTTCACGTTTCCTAACCATCGCCTCCCCCGACGGGCATTGCTAGCTGATATAGGTGCAGGTTGGAAAAGGGTAAGTGGTGGCCAAACAAAACATGGCATCAATCCATGAAATCCTTGACAGTTAAACTGAGTCAGGTAGGGAGATGCAGACTCCCGGGTTGGGGCCCTCGGAACTCTAGGAATCAATGGCTGGAGACAATAGGTGACATGGCTCAAAATCGTTGTCAATGACAGCGCAGATGTATTCAGTATCTGTAACCTTTCATATTCCTTTCTACCATTACGCATTCTGTTTCACTCTTATACTTGTCAAACTCTATTGATTCTCTTCACTCATCTTCTTGTCTACCTCTGTGTGCTATTTGGAACGTGGCAACTCGAACTGGTGCGCTTCGGTGCCAAGTTCTATGTTGAATCCAGATAGACAGACAGCCGTAGCTGAATGTGTAGGGGTCAATGACGAGAAACCTAACGTATGTATTCGAAGTATAAGAACAGAACTTTGGAACTGTAGTAGGGCATGATTCTGTCATAGAGTAAGTGCATTCCAAAGTAGTACATTACTAATTTGGTTGAAGCGTGATGTCGACGATATGTTTACGAGTGTTAAGATATTATTCAAGAAGATGTTTACATGAGAGGAACAATTGAGTAAGTGGAGCTGTAGTAGCCTCACCACCATTTCACTTGCTCTGAATCATGCTACCAAGCACTTTTTCACGTCCAATAATTCAGTCTTTCGTCTCTTCCTGATAGTCGATTTATTTTCACTGACATAGAATAGAGATGATGTGGTAACCAAGATGTGAGGTATATTTAATGAAAAATAGCAACAAGTAACTGTCTGTACAGATTTGTTTGCCATAATTATTTCGGGAATGATGAATTGCTGTGAACATGTTGACTGACGTTACTGAAGTTCTGTGAATAAATGAATGAAGTACATTGTGGAATCCGTTGGGAGTAGCAGATGATATGAAAGTTAAACACTTTATATTCGCCTAGCTTTTCTGTCTTATTCTGTGGTCATGGGAGCACTCTACTGTAGCCTTGACTATCACATACAACATTGTTTCTCTTGCCAAGTGCAGCACTATGCAAATGATGAATTCATGTCGTGGTGTCATTCCGAATTTCGAAAGATGTCTAACACATCTAAAATATGTGATTATGGAAACCGGAGTAACACTTCTTTCAATCTGCTCAAATTATTTCCTTTGACTAGGCTTCTTATAAAAAAAATCTGTAGCATTGGTATTGATTTTCTAGGAAGCTTAGTGTCGTGTTCATTTTCGTAAACGGTCCTTCACGCATAATAGCATGCAGTAACTGTATATGCTTATGCATTTGAGTCTGGACATAACAAAGACCGGTGGGTGTGCACTGACGAAGCGTCCCACACTAGGACGAAACGGCTGCCCAGTACTCCCTGGTTGCTTTTCCAGTGGTTCTCTAACTGATATCAGCTCATGATGAAATCCTCCAACTGATGAAACGAAATCCCTACAAAACCAATACTTGGAAATAACAAAGTCTGTCGAGATGAGGCGTTCACTACTAAGTGGTTGAAAAATATGAGTCAGAAGTGCAACGTCCATATTCATCCTAGCCATAGATAATTCCTTAAGGAGCTCAGAATAACTAAGTGATCTGGAAGCGAGTGATTATTAGGACCGGTATAACTTACGTAGCAGATACATTAGTGGTTGAATGTACCTGCAAGCTACTTTTCGACAAGAAATTGATACTAATTGTAAGCGGCGTTGCATTTAAGAAGAATAATGCGTAGTATTCTTCTTGTTCAAACGCATACTGATATCAAGATAAGCTGATGCCACTTGGTGCAATAAGTAGTTACGGGCTCGCGTGACAACGTAAGTTCCACTCGTATCACACCTTCAGCTGAAGAATTTTAACTGTGAACATCGTCGAAATGGGCGTAATCACCACAAAGTTCAGCCATGTGCCTCGTTCATAATATTATTTCTTCGGTGTGTTATGAAGGATTTCCCTCATCACGGATGAAAATGAAAATATATCTAACTTGTGTCTGTGGGTTCATTCTCCATCAAAGGCCTGTTTCTCATGGAATAAATGCTATAACATTAACCGTTGCCTGTAGTCAATATACAACCTGAACATCAAAAGCACCCACAAACATCAAACCCTCAATGCTCTCAAACAAAAAGAGCAGTAATTTCTATGCATAATTTCTCTTGGTGCATGCCTGTCTTCGTGATAACCAATATGGAATATCAAAACAGTTTGACGCATTAATACAAACATAATAATGTGAGGAAATACCGCTTTCTTCGACTACAGAAACCTAGGACTAATGAAATATTTCCCATTGTGTGCGCGAAAATACATTGCGATAGCCTTAATCTTCACCCAAACAATTCCACATGGCTATGTCCGATATTCCTTTGTATGGGATACATTTCACTGGTGATGCCACCCGACGATGACATTATCGAGAAAATGATACGAATATACTACTCATTTTAGATTAGTACACCATCTGTCTCTGAATCAAGAATAAGATGCAGTGCCGTACACAGCAAAGCTATGCAGGGGAATTGACCTCAAGCTTTATTATTTTTCCAGGGTATTTGTGATCTGTCCAGTAAAGGCCTGAGTTCTGTTAATGCAAAGACTATATTTCCATATTTAATAGTGTGCTGATCCACTGAGGGGTAAGCAGACTGTCCCAAATGTCTGCAGTTGAAAAGAACAGCAGCCTTGTAAATTCACCATAAATCAAATTTATGTAGCTGAAACGATAAATCATGCATACCTATACAGTTGGTGTGTTCGTGCATAGACAGAAATAAATATATAATAATAACAACAGTGAAGTGTTCCTTCATCGAAAAACTTAGCGGCTAACATAACAACTCGACTTTTGGATGCATGAACGGATTGGAAGGTGAATATAATCGTCTTGGCTAGTGCAGTTCAGAAACAGTACACGGCTTCTGATATTCCCACAACAAATGCCAACCATGAAAAATGAGCTTGGCAGTGTATAAGTGTCACATCATATCAACGGCATGACCAATGAAATACTCAATATGTCGATACAGCATAGGCATAAAATTTAAATGAATACAGTCTTATAAATAAGGAATGACTGTGATGAACACAGAGCTGACAGTGTGATGAAAGCTGGTTAGAAACACATGTAGCATCTCTCCTACTTAGTATCATAAAAGTAGCTTCTTGGTGCAGAGCTGATGTCACATGTCTCATTAGTGTGGTCTAACTTGTTGGTGTTAAGCTAAGGCTGTAATCAATCATGGTCACAGGAGTGCAGCATACTTTTCCGTGTTAGCATGATGCAATAACCTAAGCCCATTAAGGATAAGATTTTATTTCGATATATCACACAGTGTTGTACAGTTATATTAACTGATGACGTTTCGAGCACAAACTATTGCTCATAATCATATCAAGTAACTCACACAACATTTTTCTTTCATTTATATACATGGGTGGAATCGATTAGATATTGAATTTAAAATCAAAATTTAAAATTATCCTCTTCTGATTTGACTGAGTAGTGGTAATAATATCTTCCATATTTCTGGTATTTGCATTGAGTCATTTCTGTTACATGTGTTGGGTGTAGACTCGATGAATAAGGATTCCGTAATAAATAATCTTAAAATTCTATTTCACTTCAAACACATCACAATATAATAACAAGTAACTTATTATGACTATAAAAAACACTCGTATAAACAGTTGTATTTCCCACATAATTGCAATGGGTCAATAACACTCGTACTATTATTTCTGAATGGATATTATCTCACGTTGATTTTAAATTCAATATCTAATCGATTCCACCCATGTATATAAATGAAAGAAAAAAGTTGTGTGAGTTACTTGATATGATTATGAGCAATAGTTTGTGCTCGAAACGTCATCAGTTAATATAACTGTACAACACTGTGTGATATATCGAAATAAAATCGTATCCATAATGGACTTATACTCTACCACAGTGCCCAAGTTTTATACTTATATCAATAACCTAAGCATCAATATGAGTATTCTTTGGTAGAATTTAGAAAGTTAGCTCACGCTGACCGAAATGAAGGTAATGAGATTTACCTTGACGTACCTAATATATATATATATATATATATATATATATAAATTTGTAGTCAGGTGATTGTTGAAGGCTTTTCAAATTGCTCAGATGGTATTCTCAGGGATATTCAGAGCACGGAGAATGCTTAGAAGTCATTGTGAGAATTCACTTGTATCTTGGTTATCCTCGTGAAATGGCGTATTTGTCCTCAGCGTAATTGTGTCTCTGATTCTTTATGGATTGTGTACATGCATGCGTTCATGCTAACTCATATTTATGGAACAGGATAAATGTAAGCTAGTCAACGACAAAATTGGTCAATTGATGTGTATCAGTTCTAACTAAAGGAAGCATTTCTGCCAGTCAAGCTTAGATCATGACCATTCGATCACAGAAGAATTTTCTGTGTGATATAATCAAACAGTGATACAGTATTAATCACTCTGTGCTTGTATCGTCAAATGAATTTTGTTCTATGATGGAATCACACTGTGCGGATACTGTGTACGCATATGCTTTGTTCTTATATGCATGAAGACTGCTTAGTAATGTGATTTGAGAGTTCAGTGCATTTTGATGCTTGGCTGTCACCTCATGTTGACGAGGAGGTTGCAATCAGAAAAGAAAGCCAATAGAATTCATGGATTTGCTGTTGACGAGTAGTCAAAGCATAATATACAAATATATATTGTATGTGGCAGATGCACTACTCGCTCGATGGATGTCTATGTATTTCAGTGAGGATGCAGGTTAGCCAGA